GATAAGGAGTATTGGCGTACGCGGTCTGTTCATGTTGTCATGCATGTTACTTCATTCACTATGTATATATATATATATATATATATATATATATATAATATATTATATATATATATATATATATTATGTATATATGTATATATATTATATATATTATATATATATATATAATGTATGTATATGTATATATATATATATATATTATATATATATATATAATATATATATATATATATATTTTATTATATAAAATGTATCTTCAATTCACCTTCGTGTTGATTAATTATCTTTATTTGTCCTTGTTTTATATATCCAAATCTTAAAAAGTTTAGATATATTTTTCTATATTCAAGTATATATATAAAGTTTTGCGAAAAAGAATGAAAGAAAAGAAGGGGCAAAAAAATAATCAGCTGTTTTGGTTTATGCAAAATACATCGAATGATAATGACTAAACCTTTGACTATGATTAATTTTACCGAGACGAAGGTGATCTTGACAGATCAGTGGTTAAGGTCAGGTTGACAGGTTGGTAATGGTAATCATTTGATAATTGACAGCTTGGTAATGATGATTATTTGAAATGCAGGCGGATCTTCGTCTCTTTAATAAGAAAGAACAAAACTGGATGTAGATTAAATTTATTATTATTATTACTTTGGTGATAATGAGAGTAAGGAAGAATAGGTTTCGTTGAATTTTTATGATAATGATAACAATTTACTATTGTTATCATTATCTGTCCTATTTTCATCGTTGATTATGACTATTATCAATTTTATTATCTTCATTATCATTAAGGATGATATATCACTGTAATGATTCCCTTTAGTTTTATTGTCTTATGATTTTTCCTCTCCTCTTCTCTATATTTTCCTCTCCCCTTCTCTATATTTAGATTTTTATTCCCTCTACTTTCTCCCCTTGCTAAGTCTTATTCCGTTTTCTTCCCCTTTTTGTCCTTTATTTATATATTCATATTTGTTCGTTTATTTTTTTTTTTTTTTTTTTTTTTTCTATATTCTGTGATTTTTTGCCCTTCCTCGTCATCTTTGCGAGGTATTCTGTTTGTCTTTCTTCTTCCCCTCCTCTTCGCTTCCAATCCTTGGTTGTCTTCTTCCCTTCCCCCCCTTCCCAGCCTCAGCTAATCGCCCCCTCCTCCCCCAGGACTCCCCCTGGCCGCTGGTACAAGAGCGCGACGATGACCCGCGGCGGGGGCAGGCGGGGCCCCCCCCCGGCACCCGCCCCCGGGCCCGCCCTCGCCCCGTCCCCGGCGCCTACGATGATCGGCGGGGAGCATGGCAGCACAGCGCCCACGCCCGCCCACCCGCCCCACGACCAGTCGTCCGCGCTGCGGAAGAGGAAGCGCCTCAGCCAGGTGGTGCTGGAGCTGACCTCGCAGGCCGAACGTCGCTCCCCCGAGGACAAGCCTCCGCGCCCCCCGCTCGCCCCCGCGGCGCCGGACCGCCCCGGCGCCCCCCCGCACGACACCGTCGCAACGGCCCGCCCCGCGACGCCAAGCCCCGCAGGACAGGCCCCCGACCAGCCCCCGAACGCCTTGCCCTCGCAGCCGCCGCAGGCCGACAAGGAGCCCATGTTCAGCCGCCAGCCCGAGGATGCGCCCCCGGGGCCCGGCCACGACCAGGGGAGGAGCCGGCCTCAGCCCCGGCCTCAGCCCCGGCCTCAGCCCCGTGCCGGGCCATAGCCCCGTCGCGGGCCACAGCCCCGTGCCCGGACACAGCCCGTGCCCGGCCATAGCCCGGCCTCAGCCCCGGCCTCAGCCCCGGCCTCAGCCCAGGGCTTAGTCCCGGCCTCAGCCCCGGCCTCAGCCCCAGGGTCACAGTCCAGGACGAGACCGGCCAAGAGGCCATGAAGGTGGACACGCCGCCCTCGCCAAGGAGGGCCCAGGGAGGGAGGCACCAGCCCCCTGCCAGAGGCCCAGCAGCAGCAGAGGTCGCCTGGGGTCATCCAGGTGCACAGATCGGGCGAGGGCGGCAGCAGCAGCACCAGCAGCACCAGCAGCAGCTGCGGCAGCGCCGGCACCGCGCGCTCGCCCCGCGCCGTCCAGAGCGACGTGTTCCGCTTCGACTCCCTGGACCGCGAGCGGTACCTGTGCCGCGCCATCAGCGAGGAGGACGAGGAGGTGTTCTCGCCCGGCCTCCTCGCACAGCCCGCACGCTGCGCCGCGCCGCCGCGACTCGCCCGCGCTCGCCAGGGTCAACTCCGACTCGCCCAAGCTGTCCTTCAGCCCCCTCAGGATCAAGGACCCCAGCATCGACGAGGAGGACCTGGACCTGGACTCGAAGTCGTCGTGCTCGGCGTCGGCGCTGGCGTCCGGCGACCCGCCCGGCGTCGGCTCCGTCATCCGCGGCATCCTGCCCAAGCTGAGCGTCGTGCGCAGCGACGCCTCCGACCCGGGCGGCCACTACCAGCCCTGCACCTGCCAGCACTGCGCCCTGTCCGCACGCGACCCGCACCGCCTGGGCCCCGCGGGCGTCCCGCACTCGCCCATCTCACCGCTCACGCCCTCCTCCCCGCACACGCCCATTTCGCCTTCGCCAGGACACAACGTAGAGCACTACTTCCCGCCCACCGTCTACCTGCCCGACCTGTACCGGCGCCGCTCGCACTCGGACTCGGACCTGCAGCTGTGGTTCGACCAGAAGGCGCGCTCCAGCGAGGTGCCCGCCAGCAGCGGCGGCCAGACGTCGGCCGGGCCCTCGGGCGAGCAGCAGCCTTCCGCCACGCGCGGCTCCGTCCTGCGCCACGGCCGCCCCATCCCGCAGCCGCTCTACCTGCCCCGCAAGGGCGGCTCGCTCGAGTCCGACAACTCCACGCCGCAGGACTCGCCGCTCGACCTGTCCGTCAAGACGGCCGGCAGCGTGAAGACGGGCAGCACCTCCAGCACGGATAGTCTAGTCTTGCCGGGCTCGGTTCCCCTGTCGTCGCCGCACTCGCCCCACCTGGCGGCGCCCAAGGACATCACCCCGCCCCCCAGGTCGCCCGGGGCGCCCGACCACCGCCAGACCTCGGCCTCGTCCCTGCCGGTGCCCGTGGTCAAGGGCGACGTGGCCTCCTACAGCACCAAGGACAGCGTGGCGCTCCGCTACCACCTCGAGGTGTCCCCCGTGGTGGAGGAGATGCCCCCGGGGGCGGACGTGGCCTTCGTGTGCCCCGTGTGCGGCCAGATGTTCTCGCTGCACGACCGCCTGGCCAAGCACATGGCGTCGCGCCACAAGAGCAAGCAGGTGGACAGCACCAGCAAGACGTACATGTGCGACGTGTGCAAGCGCTCGTTCGCGCGCTCCGACATGCTCACGCGCCACATGCGGCTGCACACCGGCCACAAGCCGTACACCTGCCGCGTGTGCGGACAGGTGTTCTCGCGCTCCGACCACCTCTCCACGCACCAGCGGACGCACACGGGCGAGAAGCCCTACAAGTGTCCGCAGTGTCCGTACGCCGCCTGCCGCCGCGACATGATCACGCGCCACATGCGGACGCACGCGCGCTACGAGCTGCACGAGTCGTCGTCCATGGAGGAGGGCGGCGAGGTGGCGCGCCCCAGCCTGCCCGTGCGGTCGCTCTCGGAGGAGCACCCGGCGCCCTCGCCGCTGCTCGACCTGCCCGGCCTGTCCGCGCCGCCCAAACACACGCCCCAGGGCTCGCCCGGGCCCCACGCTGCCAGCGGCGGCGGCGGGGCGCAGAAGCAGGCCCTGGGCGGCCCTCCGGGCATCGCGGGCGTGGGCATGGGCGGGCCGGGCATGTCGGGGCACCTGCCGCCGCAGCTGCAGCGACCCCGGAAGCAGGAGGAGGACTGAAGGAGGCCAGCGACTCTCGTCTGGTTCATGTTTTTGCCTCGTTGAGGTTTGTCTCTGGTTGGAGGTCGTCCCTCCTTGGCAGGGAGGCCGCCGGTGGCCAGAGGCGCGCCCAGCCTCTCGGCGTTGTTTGTGTGGCGGAGGCGGCCCGCCGTGCCCCGTGCCGCCGTGCCGTCGTGCCCGCTGCGGCCGTGGCCAGCCCGGCGCCTGGCGCGACCTGGGCCTGGTCTGTCCCTGTCTGTCTGTCTCTCCGGCTGCCCGGTTCGGTCTGCCCGGCCGCAGCCCCCCTCCGCACCCGCCGGCGCGACCGTCGCGGGCGGGCTGCGGCCGGGCAGTGTAGCACGTGGGTGTCTCAGTGTCAGTGGTCACGTGTTGTGTCGTGTGTCAGCCGCATGCGGCGTCTCGGGCGGCGGGTCTGCCGGAGGTCACGCCCAGTGTGGGGGAAGAGGAGGTTCCTCCGACGGAGCAGCCCCGGAGAGGAGAAGGCGCTACAGCCGGAGCTGCTCCTCCCCCACGGCCACCCTCAAGTATCTCGGTGTGAAGACGCGATCGCCCGCGTGCCCGCGCCTCGGTGCCCGCGGGGGCGCCGCTCCCTCGCGCGGGAGAGCGCGCTCCCCTGCTCGGGGGCGCCAGAGGTCTATCGATTGTACCTGCTAATTTAATTAAATAGATATATTATGTTACGCTAAGCCAGGCGCCCCGCGGGCACCGGGACCGGGCCCTCGAGGAAAGGAGTTGCGGGCGTGGCGGCCGGACCCTCGGCCCCTGGCTCGGCGCCGGGGGCCAGACCTTCGCCGGCGCGCCCGGGGCTGCCCTCGGCCCCGGGGCGCGCCGGCGCCAGGGCCCAAGTACAAGAAAGGTCGGCAGGTCCAGTCCAGCGCAGAGGGTCCGGCTGCGACGGCCGGCGGTGGAGATGCTGGTGTTCTCGGGTAATAAGTCCTCTGTGTATTATCATGCATTGGTCATGTTCGCCTCATGTGAATAATAACGATTCATGACTGTTTCTGTTTCTTGTGTTTCAACCGGCCGCGGCCCAGAGCCTCACACCCCCCACCACCGCCCCACCCCCAAAGGCTACCCACCCCAGCTATGTCTCTCTTGGTAGTTGAACGCCACCGTTTGAGGTATCTACTGTGTATATTTTGATGTCTTTCTTTTTCCCCGAAGGAGAAAAGAAAATATTAAAAAAAAAAAAAAAATCGTACAAGCCACAATTATTAGATGACACACTTCTCTTACACCACTCTCACGCACAGAGGCACAAAAAGATGCTGGATAATTATTAAGTGGCCCTCCAACACCCCCTCCCCCTCCCTAACCCTCCCCCTCTTCCCTTTCTCAATCCCCTCCCCACACACCCCTCCCACGTCCCTCCAGCCCCTCACCCCCACCTGGCAGAAGTGTAATACCATTGGCTCAACCTAGTACGAGACCCTCCCTCCCTCCTCCCCTCCTCCTCCCCATCCCCATCCATCCTCGTGTTCTATATGGAACTCCTCCCCCTCCCCTCCCTCTCCTTCCCTCCCCTTTCCCTCATCCCTCCCTCGTGTTCTAAATGGAACTCCCCCTCCCTCCCTCCCCCACTCCTCCCCCGCCACCTAACTAGCGGTTGGCAATAATGGCGATTATTGTAAATTTTTTTCCCATAGACTGCTCACTTTCTTGCGTTTCATGAGAACTATAGAGCTTATTATCATTATCGTAATTATTAATATTACTGTTTCCATTATGATAATTATGATAATTTTTGATTATTTCCAAAAAAAGTTGACTAATTATATGTGACATGGTAAATTAAAGTACCTCTTAAGCACATAAATATTAAGGTTAATTATCCACTGTGGATATAAGGATGATAAACTACCAAATAGCTGAAAAAAAAACTCTTTAAAAGCTCTCGGATTGAAGCTATGGTCCACGTCGTCCAAAAAGAAAAAAATCTTTCAAAATAGGATTGATAAAGACAAATCATAAATCATTATGTAATAAAAAACCTAAAAATATAAAAAGAAAAACGCTAAACGGAAAAAAAATCCGTCAGTCACTTCTCTCAAGGTACAAGGCCGCGGAACGCAAATTTTTTCGAATAAAAAAGAATAAAAAATCCCCCCAAAAGTGCTTTTCTCCCCCGCACCTGGACCAAAGCTTCCCTCAACCGGAGCCCAAGCTCACCCTTCAGCATATATAGAGTCTATGTTGCAGCAAATAGCTTGTACCGTGAAACAAAGCTTCCCTTCTGTCTAAAGTCTGGATTCTCTGACATTTCAGTCGTAAAGTAACTGCGCAATTTTACTCGTCTTTCCTTCCAAGAAAAAGAAAAAAGAAGAGAAATTTATGTTTCTTTGTCAAAACCCCCAAAAATATATATAAAAAAGATATATATTAAAAATAAAGAAAAGAATGAAGAGACGCGATAGGAAGTACACACAAAGACAGTTATATAGAGATATAGATATATATAGATATATATATATATATTTGTTTATTGCCACCTTATTCATATGTGCCAAATTCTATTTTCTTTTTCTTTTGTTTCCCGAAATGAAAGCTCTTAGTCAGTTGCCGCCTCGAAATATATGTAAAACGCCCATCCTTTCTAACCCCCATAAAAGAAAAAAGAAAAAAATTGTAAAAGACAATTTTTATTAAATGTGAATCCCTACAAAGGCCCTTATCCTCCCTTCCCCTCTCCCCTCCCCTCCACCCCCACCCCCCGTGCTGTGAGTGACTGAGAACTAGGAATGTTGCAAAAGACGATCTCAGTTGCATCTTTGCATTTGATTCCGCTGCTGTGGAGGTGAGACGCTTCAAGGTCACTGATGCAGTAGA